CAAAGCCACAAAAAAATTAATGAAAAGTTGCGGATACGTATTTCGGAAACAATGTTACCATTATCAACGCTAAACACATACTGACACCCCGACTAGAAAAAACTCCCTTATATACCCCTAGTGACCTTATCACCTAGTGACGTTATCACTAAGTAATATTATCACATTTTGCCAGTTTACACAAGTTTAATAATGAATTTTTCAGTGGGCCAAGATCCCAATTAATTAAATTGTTTTTATTTTTAAACATTTCTATTGCTTCTCTGATATTAAGTTCTTTGTAATTATTTACGTTTTTAATTAGTTTTATGGTTTTAATAGAGTGATATCAACAATCGCGAGAATACGCGCTTTGCGTTCGCGTATGAACGTATACAATGTTGGCCGTTTGTATTATTATTGTTATTGCTAGATAGTGTACTAATAAAGCGCTATGACAGTGAATTGTACCTGGGAATGTGATTGCAATGATGGTAATCGTAATCTTTATGATCGTGACGACACAATTAATAATACAAACGGTTTTATGGGACCCGGTTGTCAAATGTAACGATCGCTGTGGTATGATAATGTGTATGATCACCCTACCTGCCTAGCGGTTTTATCGAAACACTGAAATGGTTGTGTTCGCGGCGTTGTGCGACTCAAGGTCGTCAGTGCGCGTGTATGTATAAATACAAAATCGCCAGAAATCCACTTTTACCGTGTTTAAAAATACACCGAAGGTGGAAATCTACTATTCGCGAGGTAGATAGTATCTAAATAACCGGGTGGGAAATCCACTGTTGTCACCAGTGAACTGTGTGATTGAAATAATTTGGAGAAAAGTGAATGTAAAGTAAACCTAGCTGTCTTGTTTGAAAAATAAAAATTAAGTCAGCAACTGGTTTTCTTACCTTATTCCAATGTAAGACCGGTTGAGATCCTTACCGGGGAGCCAGTTGACACGACTTACGTCGCAAAAATTTGGTCGACACTGGTTTTGAGGGTAGAGGCCCGTGGGCCGTTTATTAAATGAGCGACAACAGATTATTTTAACAAAAATAAAACAAACCGAAAAGATAAACACAGTAATAATGATCTTCACATAATATCGCGGCGGGTCGTCGTCGGCCGTGTGGCATTTGCTGGACTTTGCACCGTAGCGTATAACACGCGGTGTTGGTCAGTCAAATACTCATAGTAGGGCGACGGCTGATAAAGGTGGCACGAGTCGCGGGGCATCGTGTATAACGAAGCGACGCGGGCCGTGTCAAAATTTTAAAGCCAAATTCGGATTCAAAGACGAAATTCCTTAGAGAAATCAAATAAATATTGTAAATAATAAAAAATGTTTTATTATTGTTTTCCTATAAAATTCATATTAAAATATAATGCATTTGACGTCGACCTCATTTATGCATTCCCTTTCCTTAAAACAAAATTATTTTCTATTCAAAAATTATCCTTTAAAATTATAATTGTTAAGTTTAATTGTTTTAATAATGTATACTTTAAAAACATGTTTAAGATTTATGCGACGAATGTAATTGTGCCACAGCAGAGAAAACATTATTTAATTGCCATCATAAGTATTGTATTTCCTGTATAGAAAGAATAAGAAAAAGTGCTTATAACGGTGAAGAATATCTATGTAAATCAAAATGGAAGGAATCATCATCAAAATTTAATAAAAGTATTTAATTTATATTATATATATATATATTAATAACAATAAAAAATTCTATTAAATCTCAAAGTTGGGAATATCTAGATTTTGATTTAGATAAAAATAATATTTTGTTTTATCTTATCTAAATGACTTTTTAAAAAAAAAATTTATAAAAACGTCATCTAACATAGACTTTTTTATCTAGGTAAGAAATGCTATTTTTTATTCATATATTCTAGGTGTATACAAAATGAATTTATAATTACACCGATAAAATATATTTTTTTTCTTAGATAAAATTTGAATATAAACTTAATAAATAAGTTTTTCTCTGTGATTTCTTTACATTAGATTATTTGATATAATCTGTGTCAGCAATTGGATTCGTGAGATTTGAATAATATATTTTTATAAATAAAATATTGAGTATTTTACTATACTATCAGACTTGGGACGTATACCCTCCAGCCGTCAAGCACGGCGGGTACAATTCCTGTGTAAGCAACTGGTTTAAACAGTTGGACTTAGCTAACAAGACGTTGTGACACCCAAAATAAAATGCATTACGTAATCCCATTGCCACAATAATATCCATCAATCATTAAACATTACGCTTATCGTGCTGAGGAACATAAAAAAATAGGTCACTTATATAATATTAAAAAAAAACCCAACACAGTTGTCGTAACACAGTAAAAAGAAAAAAAAATGATAAAAGGTAAAAGTGTAACTGTGTGTACGAANATGGTCAGGTCTATTGGGTTTTTATAATAATTATACTTATTGCCGATTTGGCAATAAATATTATTTGTTAATTCACCAGTCTCAGGCAGCGGATGTGCTGTCTGTATTTTATTAAAATAATTCTCACGATTATGAAAACGTGACACCATCACACAGTGGGGTCGTTGGGTCCAGTATAGATGATATCTGATAGTGATTAAAATCACTATCATAAAAAACGCTTCGATGCAAATCTATAGATAGTGTTTAATTAAAAAAAAAATTTTGTTAAAATAGCATATTTTTGAATATGGTAGCCATTTGCGCATAGAAGATAGGTTGTCGGGACAAATTTTTTTTTTTTCATTTTATATTACTAACACGGCCGCCGAGGATTGACGGCCGGTTATAGAAAGTGTACCGGAAATCATGTGAAAAAAAAAGGCACGGTACGGGATTAGAACCCGCGATCCAAGGCGTCGTATAGACAAACCTTACCACTAGGCCACCGTGCACTTATGATTCAGATCCCGATACACTTTCATTAAGGTTGATAACGTGATGTGCGGCTGAGGGAAACACGATACTGTGTCAGTACATAAAATAAGCTTTAATTTGATATATGTTTAAAGGACGCAGTATTTCTGGAACATTTTCAAAAATTAAGTTGAAAAAGTTAATTTTTGTAAAAAAGTTACTATTTGAAATTCTCCCCAATGAGCAGGTTAAGTGTTAGATTTTCAAAAAAAATTATATCAAATGAAAGGGAAATATCTAAGGTTTCAATACAAAAAACTATTATTTTTATTTGTTGATTTTTCAAAAAGTTATGGAAGTTTTAAGAAAAAAAGTGAAAAAATTTCGAAAATTAGCGATTTTTAAATTTGTAATTTTTTTGGATGTTTCCCCCATTTACGGGGAACGAAGGAATTTTTTTCAATTTTTAAGGGTAATGTCTTCAACTAGATACGATTTGTGATCTTTTGACGTATTTTTGAAAGAAATCGGTCCAGTGAGAGCTGAGAAAAAGTGGCAACAGACATAAAAAAAAAACACATCATAGTAAAATTAATACCTTCTCTGCTTCGCATCGAAGCTAAAAAAAATTTGCAAAAATTAAATATATTTTTATTATTTTTGAAAAATATTATTGATACCTCTAATCTCTTTAATTCCTTAACCTTAGATCAAATATCGGCTAATGATGGTTAAAGCATTATGAATATGTTTAGCCAATATATTGCTTCTGTTAATAATAAACCTAACCCTAATTTATCTATTAAAAATATGCCTATAATTGAACACCAAGATTCAATTTTTTCTTGTAATATTATCTTATTAGAGGTTTATAGTTTTTTTTTTTTTAATTCTGTATATCATAATGGCGAAAACAAACTAAAGGAATTACATAATTATCAAAAAAATAGAATACAAACTTAAACTATAACACAATCTATAATATGTGATTAATAAAATAAGATGTTACTTGTGAACTAGACGAGTAGAACAATACATTTTCAATTAGTCCGGTTGAAATATTGGATATTCTCAATATTCCATTACCAATGTAGATTCATTTTATCTTCTGCTATTGCTTTTCTTATTATGACTTTTTTTAAACTTAAGTGTTATCCATCTAGTTTTAAATCCATATTTATTAAACCTATTCATTCAAAGGAAAATATATTTTAATTATATTTCCATTATATTAGTCCCTCCAAAACATTTTTTACGACATTATTAATTTTAAAATATCAGAATTCGAAAATACAATAGTACCACAAAAATATAATTTTGCAGCATAAAATTACATTAACTAATTTAATAACATTTAAACATAATACTCTCAATTACTTTTTATTAAATGAAAAAACAGATGTAATCTATTTCGTTTTTTATAAATCAATTAATAAAGTGGATATCTTCATAAGTGTACTTATATTTAAAATAATTTCCTCATTTCTAACTAATAGGGTACAGTTTATAAACATGATGTTTCTAATTCTATTACTATAACATCTTACGTTCCTCAAGGAGATAATTTATTTCCACTTATATTTAATTTTTTAATTTATAGATCCTTGTATGTCAGAATTAATAAGAGGTAATTAATCTATTTTTTTTTCTATTAATAAATAATTATTAAAATAATATGAATTTTGTATTATAGCAAAAAACTATATTAAGTCTCGGTAGCAGTATTAAAAATTCCTTATATTTTATTATGTGCGGATGATGTCATGATTATCAAATAAATGAATAACATTTAAATTTTTTCTAATTAAAATCATAAGAATTATTCTTATGCTATGTAATTTAATAAAATAATTAAAAATGAATTAGTTAATTTTTTAAATTAAATTTTGTCATTTAAAATTTAGATGCAAGATGTGCGCTTTAAAAATTAATTTTTCATTTATCATTATACACAAAATGAAAAATGTTCACGTTGCCTTTTGAAAATTTTACATTCTATCAAAAGCTATCACATAATTAATAATTTATTTATGCAATAAAAACTTTTTTTAAGATTAATGATTTATATATATATATATTTTAAGATGGACATGTGTTTCTTATTAAAATAAAATAGATAAATAATTGATACTTCATATAAATGTTAAAGGAAATTGCCTAAATTGTAATGAAGTTAAGCCAGTAGATAATTTGTTTGAATGCCATCATACATTTTGCAAAGGCTGTATAAAGCTTTTAATAAACAGTTATACTAAAATTTGTCCAATAGATGAGTGTAAACAAAGAGTACTTGTAGGTAATAATCTATTTTATATCTATTAATAATCAATTATTAAAATATTCTAAATTTTTTATAATTGCAAATACATTGATTTTTTGTTATCTACATAACAAATATTTAGTAGTAATATTGAGTTTAACGATTATCTCAATGTAAGGTGTGTATAAAGCGATGATAAGAGGGTAATAACAAACGATGATGATATGAAAAAAAAAGTGGAAAAAGTATTTTGAAAAATTACTGAAAGAGGAATATTCAAGAATGATA